TACGGCAAAAGGTCTATTAACCGGCAGTTGATTTCGCACTTCAATCTACCATGACCCCACTGTATGTCAAATTCGATTACTTTCACAGAACTCACCTCACCTTTTGCCTACGTTTGTGCCTGTCTCATTTACATCTTTGAAACACTCTTCTGTCCCCCCCTCTCGACATCTTTTCATTTCGATGTTCCTTCCCCTCTGTGAAGCCCGAAATCAACTAAAGAGCTAATGATAACTACCAAAGCGCCTGCCATTTGGTATAAATAAATAGACATTTTACAATCAAAATCGTTGATTCAGAGCCAAATTCTTTCCCATTTCGTGTTTTTTGCAACTTCCGCAAATATCTGATTTCGGAACTCTTGTTTTCTTATTTAAATAAACACTCAGGCATGTTTACAAGGACTTTGAAATGATATGCTAAGATCGAAAAATGCAAATTTCTAAATAGGACAATCGCGCCACGCTTTCCTGATTAAAATTCAGCGGAATAGCCGATTTCGTTCGTTTTCTCAAACTGCACTCATCAGCATATCCATGGTCTAGGATTCAGGTCTGCAAGTATATCTCCAATTTAAATGAACTTTTAGTTTCACTTTAATTAACTTTATTTATAATTTGAAATTGTGGAGAAGCAACTAACAGCAAAATCTTGGTTTTCAAAAGGTCCTTACCTCAGGATTCTGTTAGGTAGCCTTATAAAGCATTGTTGTTGCACTCGAGGGTAACTTACAATCTTGGCCTCTCACGCATTGGATTAACACAAATATACCTTGATATGCAAGATCACCTGTGGAGAATTTGGCGCTACAATTATTGACTAACTCGGTAGCCAATCATTTATTATCTATTCAAGCCTACACAGCGAAATTTATTTTGTTAATAGGAGACAATACTCTTAGACATAGGCCTTCTCTTTCCCTTTTTTGGGGTCTAAGAAGCTGTAGGCTTAATATGTTATAAGAAGTTGCTTCCTCAGTTCTAATTTTGGTGGTATGGTTAGTTGCAATAAGACCTAAGATTGCAAGGCTCAAATTTTAGGAACCTTTTCTATGTTGCACTTTCGCAATGCTAATAGGTGACAGGTTAATGGACTTAATTGCCATCTCGATTTCGTTGTCTTCCCCAGATGTCAAAAGAGGCAACTCCTTCCCCTGAGATGCTTCGAATATTGTAGAGCTCATTATAAATTTAGCTTTTCTAATCATTTTCATTGATCTAAATTAATTAAATCGATAAATGCCACTTGGGGTCAAGCATATAATACCTAAGTCTTATAAACCGCTATCTCTAACCCAGTTAGATCCCTATGTGAAATATTTTATCATTATTATTATAATGAAACCGTTTTGAAAAAAACGAAGTTTGTAATTCATCAAAATGGAACAAAAAATTGGATTGCGCAATTTTTGTCTTTTTCAGCACTACACTGCCTGAATGTCACATGGGTGTTGCCTTGCGAAAATTACATTAAATTAAAGCAATCCCACCATGAAGACTACTTTAACAATGAAAAATGACGAGGCTTTAATCAAAAGAAATAAATTTGACTCATTAAAAAAATATACTTACCAAACCCAACAAAATAAGATTGAAAAGCACACATTTACTCGTTTTAAATAGCATATAATCTTATGGAATTTTGGAATAAGCCTATCACGTAAACCAATAAGCAGTTAAAGAACCAGCAAATACTACTGTTTAGTAAAATCAATTATTAAAATGCCCCTGAAATTGAGTCTCCATAACAAAGGAATCTGTGGGACACGTCGCTGTGTGCGTCATCGTATGCCTGCATGTCTGCTCGCCAGGATTGGGAGGTGCGGCCGTACAACTCTGTGTGCAGCGACCGTACAAACAGTGACCAATCATCAACCTCTGTTTGTTTAACCTAATCCCCCATCCTGATCATGAGTAAGCTCCCTGCGTGTACACTTGATCCGCAATATACGTCCTGAATAAACATGCTCCGTGATACACGTATGTTTCCTTTATAGCTGGGCCATTGCTTAGCTGGTTCTGGGAGTCTAGCTAGATGTAGGAGGATCTGCCATAGAGATTTCTGAGTCAGTCAGGCTTTAATAAAGTAGCAATCCGCTACAAATCTTTCCTTAGTTGCTGTTTGAGTTTGCTGGTTAACTAGAAGAAAAGTTAGCCAAACAAGGATATGCAAAAAGGCCCTTTAAGACATCATAGTTACCATATAACAGTAAATTATTGATTTCATCATTACTTAGCGAATTCCTTTCGCCTATTTTCTGGACAAAAAATTTAATGCACTTACACGTAGGTTCAATTGTTCCGGGATTTTAAAAGGTGCCTTTACAATTTGAAAGAAATTCTCCACGCTTAACAGACACTTAAGGGGAACAAAATTTCTAATTAATTCTTTTTGCACCAAAATTTTTCCAAACGGCAAAATTGCCTAATTTTCAGCAATTTACGGCGCTATTCTGTCAAAATGTCAAAGAGGTGCTGTCGGATGATTTTCAAGATTAGATTAAAGACAATTGCAATCTTACTCTGAAGAATGCCATAGCAAATAAAATTGCAGAATTGTTAAGCACAATGTCTACGACTCCAAGTCTACCGCAATCAGTGGATAGTATGACTAAATAAGTCTGAGAGGAAATACTTTTGAAGCAAATGACGCATTTGTAAATTAGTCACTACGGCTAAATTAGACGTGGTACGCAATGGAAAGTTGGCTGTTTGGTCAGAATGAATTTTGTGCTTAATAAGAAGGCGACTAAACCTGCAGAAATAGCATGAGGAGGAACGATTATTTAGACAAGCTAGGAGCTCTCTCAAGTCAATTTTTATGAAAAAAATATATATTTATTGTGAATATTGTCTGCGATGACCTTTAGCCTACAAGACGTGCGCACAAAGTCGGTATTATGAAGATGGTTGAGGGGGGGGGGATACGTAAAGTCATGCCAGGGGAATGCGAGGTGATGATGATGCGATCGACATTTAGGTGGAGGAGTTTCTGGTATGTTGACTATTCCAAGGTTTACTTATTTGTTGAATACACAGGCGAACATTTTTTACCCTTCACAATGGCGACATTCGCATATTGACATTCTTGGGTTATTATTATAATTTCAAATGGGAAGCTTTACGATACATATCATTAGCCCCTTAGTTAACTTCTGCTTTCACAAGGGGAACTAGGGAGAAACATATTTAGACTTTAGGACAGTTAACAGTAGTTCATTAGTTGACTTTTGGCTTCCCAGTATCTCTGGGTTTCTGTCGTTGTCTGTAGGGCTAGACACTGTATCAGGTGGGCCTTCTCCATTTCCTCCTGTAGCTTACAGAGTTGGCATGTTGGTTGAGCGTATGCACCTATTCTGTGACCGATATGCAGTCCAAAATCGGCAGCAGCTTCGATTCTTGGTCAGTCGGCTATGCTGGAGAGTGTTGCTCTCCACTGCTTCTCCTTCGTTCGAGCTTTAAGTTCTTTGCACCTTGAAGTCTCGAATTCTCTCGCGGGTTATTAAAGATGCGCTCATATTCATGTGCAACAAGATAGCATTCCAAAAACTACTTGGTTTGGTTATATGAATTTCTTCACCTGACCGGAAAGTGGATGAAGAAGTCAAGCAATGAATTTGACTTATAGTATCAAGCTTTGTGTTAGATTTAACTGAGCTCTGCCGGAAGTCACTGCCAAAGCAAATGGAATTTAATTTCATGGGCTTCCTTACTGAATACGCGTTCAACGAACCAAGATTCCGCCCCCTCCGATGACCTTTTTAGAATTAGGACTGGAATAAAATGGGATCTTCAATGATTGATGCAACTCAAAGAGAAAGCTATTTCAATTAGGCTGAGCTATCCAGAGAACTTATACACTCGGAACTGGTTCGAGATCCTGTCAATTAACTATTGTTTGACGACAACACCACGAAACTCCATCGAGGTAAGGGATTACTTTCTCACCACTTGATCGGTTTACCTCATGACTAGAATGTTAAATGCTTAATCCTAGTTCATGCCACTTCCACAGCGTTTAAAGGTAAGATTCTCCTCTCTTTTGAAAATGAAGCACCATTTAAGGAATTTATGCCCCCCCCCCCCCCCCAACTGGAATTAATTTAACTTCAACTTCGGAATAGAAGTATATTTCGTTTTTTTTGACGTCCAATACCAAGGCCGCATCGTTTAAAGACCACTTACAGCAACGCAACCACTTACTACGCCACGTCCAACTACTCCAACGTCTATGTCAAACTTGGCATAAATATCGATTTTTATTCCTCTTTAAGAGATAAAAATTAATCCGATAGCCGAGGGCCTCACTAACAACTACCACACTCTCCGAGATAAACCGGACGGGGACACCCTCCTCCGTACATATGTCAGATGGCATCACTTCTAACAGCGTCAAAAGAATGATAATTCCTCACCCGCCCCCACACCCTCTTCAAGTGCAAATACCAATAGAGGAAAAACCGCAGAGTGTAAAATCACTTTTCGAAAACATATTTCTTGTAGAAAAGTGTGAATGAAGAGGCCTTTTGTATGTGTTGTTGAAGTTGTTGTTGTTTTTGCTTAGAGGGAAGTTGCAGTGGATGATGGTGGGATTGTGAAATATTATTGTTTAGGCGGGGAAAGGGGAGTGGGAATATTGTAAAGACTTCTTAGTAGACACAGATAAAGGAGGAGTGAGAGGGACGACATGATGGAATTCAGCAGTGAAAAGACGCACACACACCAAAAGGGCCTAGAGAAAAATGGGTCTTTCAATGTGTCGAAAGAGGCGGAGGGGGAGGGAGAGGGCGACGACAAACAGAGTAGAAACGACCCAATATGACAGCATATACAATCAAACAAGGAGAGGAAACACACTGGGCACAGAGTGAGATGGTATCAGCGGTTCAGGAAGTTAATTTTATTAATGAGGCTGGAAGGATTAGGTAGGCGGGGGACGATTAGGGTAGAGTGAATAAGAGAGATAAACGGGAAAATCACTCAAGGAGAATTGCTGGAATTTTTTAGGAATTAATATTACTAGCCGTCTCATTGAGGGTACCCTCATTAGAAGCCGATAAATCGACATCAGCACCGGATTGGGCATCTTCAGGGGTACCTTCTCCACCCGCTCGAGCTGAAGGACGAGGTACTCCGGTGGAACCCATCCGAGTGCCACGAACTCCACTAAAAATAACGAGAAGAAATAGATATTGAATTAATTGACACACTCGTAAAAGAATTTAAGAGAAAGCAAGATGTTGCCACGTAAATAGACAACAGATAGGCAGACGACAATAATGATAATTTTCAATTTAAGAGAGAGGACCTGATAACCAAAAGACAACAGAAGTTACCGCATTAAGAATTCGTTCGCCTAAAATGGAATGGGTGAGTCAGACACACAGAAAAATTTGAAATACACGGGCTGGAAAAGGAGAACGAGAAAAGCAGGAGCAACGAATAAAAAACAAACAAGCAACCATATATATATATAGGAAACAGCAACAACGCCGAAAATTACAATATATCAACAAATGAGTCCGAATCCGCCGAGTCTCCATTGAGGGAGTCCATCGTTCGAGATGTTAACCTGAGGGAGAAATGCAATAGGCACCCGCGAAAATAAACTCAAATTAAACAAAAAAGCAGAACCAAATATATGCAATCTATTTAAGGTGAACATAAAAAAGAGGTAATCAGATTCATGAAAAGAACTGCTTCAGCCATAAACAGCATCAGAATTCCTAGGGCATGCAATCTCGAAGGTAATATAATCAGTATTAATGGAAACCTCCAATAGTGATCCTTATAATAGTCTTTTTTGCCAATCTATTGCAATAAACTTCACCTGAGAGAAGGAAAGGAGTCGAATCGGCCATCCGCATACCACGTTTGACTAAGAGCATTCAAATATACCGTTTAGACTTCCTTTAAAGCTTTCTCTTTGGTTTGATGCATGCATCCACAAAGAATAAATGTATGCATATACACGAAGCATGGAGACATACCGATTGAGCTTGGATCGAAGCATTTGGAGTTCGCGTTCAAATGCCTCCTTCTGTTCAGTGGTTTCCTCAAGGTCACGTTGTATACGACGCTTCTGTGTCCTCAGGTTGCTTGCCTCGTCCTCCATGGCCTCCAAGTTCTGCTTGTTCCGTTTGCAAGCGGTCTGTGTCTTGTCCAACTGATCCTTCAATTGGGCCACATAGGCCTTTTCTTCCTCCAGCTAAATGCAACAAAAATTCCATTAGTAGAATGCTCCAGATAGTAGAAATGGGCGTTAGTAAGATTAACTTTTACGAGAGGAAGGTCTTAGAGGTTCTTATTCCATATCCCATGAGAGAGAAAAAAGAACAATAAAATTGAGTATTCACGCGCAGCTAGTAGATTTGAGACATTCAGAGAAGACTACAATCACGTGAGCTGGTATAATAAGTCGTCTGGGGTTTGAGAGAACAGAGAGACTTCTTGTTACAAATAGAATAAACAAAACTCCAAAATGTTGGGCTGCTTCAAAGCCAGTAAATTCCAAAAGTGATTGGTAACGCGTTTTTGACCAAAATAACGACAAACTATACTGCCAATTAACTCTACTGAAACCATTAATAATAATAACTCCTTTTCTAATGTAGAAAGGGTGAGAAGTGAAAAGTCAGACGGTCTCATCCTTGTTCAAAAAAATAAAAGAAGAAAGGGCTACATTAAACACCCCTAACGATTATTAGTCATAAAAGATAATCGCGGTTAAATACCCAATTGGTTTGAGCATTGACGCACTTTTAAATAGATATGAATATGCAAAGATAAATTAGTAGGGCTTCACACATAAACAGCAATTTACTCATCTTTACACGAAAATTCGCCGATAGTACGTATGAGTACACAAACAGCGATATTTCTTGAGAAAATATTTCCAAATTCCCAAAGTCAAGCTCTCGAAGTGAGGCTGAGAAAAAAAGACTCCGAATGTGAATGAGTAGGTTAGTACTCACGCATGTCTCATTCCCATATAGCGTGATTCTACCAATTAGAATATGAGTCATGGAAGACTACTGGTCTCCCCTCCCGCTCTCTCCCAACAAACCCCCCCCCCCCCCACCAAACATACTTGGAGTGAAACTTCCTTCAGCCTCTTGTCCAATCGCCTGGCAGTGCGGTTGGCACTTTGTCTCTCCTTGTTTTCATTCTCCAACTGTTCATCCATAGCAGCAAGTCTCTCCTCCAGCGCAGTGACTTGAAGTTTGAGGCGTTTGCCGCTGTCTCTTTCCTGATCGGCAAGCTTTTCACGCATCTCCTTGATCTGCTTCTCCATGGCAGCTCGTTGTGCCTCAATGCGTTGAGCATTGGTGCGCTCGAGACCCAGGTCTACTTGTGCTTGCTCCAACAGACCCAGAGTGCGCTTGTAGCGGTCTTCAGCTTCCTCACGAGCTGTCTGCGCTTCCTCTAATTCCTCATCACGATGCATAATAGAGGCCTCAAGGCGTTTCTTATCTTCGAGAAGAGTATTCCTGAGAAAAAGGGGAAAGTAAAGGCATTCAAACTACAGATCACTATGGCTCCCAACCTGGTTCGCCTACATCACCAACTGCATTAATAAAACGTTTCGGGGAATTTCCTGGACCACATTATTACATCAGATTTGACTACTATCAATCTGAAAAAGGCATTTAGGGAGAGAAATTCACTTAGTTTAATGTTTTGCAGTTTGGGAACCAACCGTTCGAGGGTATAGTTTTAAGCCGTGAACGATTCCCACTTTTAGATTTTAGGTTATCGAAAAGTCACCATGCTCACTTAAGGGTAAACCGTGTAAAAGCTGTACAATTAGAATACAATTCTCGCTTATTGATGGTAATAATGATATGACAATTGAATCACCAGTAAACCTAACTTAATCGTTTTATCAGCGCTATAAAGGGCTCCCGAAGCATCCCTCCTTAACACAGGTAATTAATGTCCCATTTCATCGAGGGACTAAGAGACTATTTGGGAAACTGACGGAGAAAGGCCCAAAGGCACTTCTTACTACGTCCCAATGCTAAGAGAGCAAGGGAATCCACACAGACAAGACAACCAACAAACTAACCAATCAAATTTAAGCATAGAATGAGGGGGGGGGGGGGGGGAATGAAAGTGGAGATGACTACATGCAAAGCGGAGGGAGTATCGTGGACCTGACTGTGTGCGTGATTGGGTGATTTGCACACCGCCGATGTGTCATCAGAAGTCACAGCCGCAATGACACTACACCATCACAACGAAGGCGAATAAGAAAGCAATGGACATTTGGGGCCTAGAACTTCTTTTTTCCAGCGCATTAGAAGAAGGAAAGCATTGAAACGGGAGAGTTGACAGAAATACTGTTACGAGACCAATAAGCACGGACATTCTAACTTCCATCAAGGAAAAGAATCTTGCAGCAATTTTGGAATTCCAATTCGGATTTCCTTTCGATTATTCTTCTCTAGACTAATATTTTGTACGATGTATACTTACTTCAGTTTTCAACAAGCCAATCAATACATTGTGAAGCTGGGAATGTAATTCGATACATCAGTGTTACGTAACTAAAATAAAACTACGAACTCAATGGTTTTATCAAAATGAAAGATTCTGAGAAGGCAAGAATTGAATTAGAACATCTCAAGATCAAGCAAAATTGTCAAATTTTTCCAAGTGCTTTGAGACCTAATTATATCAGAGACAGATTTCCATGTGATAGTTGAGAACTTTTTCATTTAGACATTGGACAGACCACTCAAGAGATGTGCTTAAAAGACGTTTAGGAAATCGCAAATCACCAATAAACATCAATCGTTTTTTCAGAATAAGAACTATTCCAATTCCAAAATTCCCCCCCCCCCCGGAATCGTTAGTTATGGTAACTAATAAAGCCTGCTTATGGAAATGTTATCATTTATGAAACGAGGCAATTTCACCTTGTGAGCAGTTCCGCATTCCGAAAAATCGATTTTAGAAGGAAACGGAAATGAACTGAACCTTAGAACTGGATGCAACTATAGTCTATAAAAATGAAATGTTCGTGGAACGTAAAATTAAACGCGCACGCACACAGTGAGAGAGAGAGAGAATAGACAATGAGCATTGATAAAACTATGTAAGCTAATTCAGCAACTAGGTACTACTTACCCTTCTCCAGATGAGCATTGGGCACGAAAGACCTAAAGAACCTACATAATATGAAAAGTTTTCTTTCTATCATCCAAAGCGTTAATAATTCAATCACATAAACAAAGCAACAAAGGCCCCATATCATCATCAATCTCCACTAATACTTTTGAAGGAAATAAAATTTTGACGTTCGGTTAACAAAAATCGAAACTATGTGCACTTTTATCCAACAGTCACCATTAGACATTAACGACCGGAACATTTTCTTTAATGTTTAAAATTAGGAGTCTTCGAAATTAGTTACTTACTTTCCTCAGCTGCACACACAGAGCACATAATAAATTACCCCAATTAAACCAGCAGCACCTTTGGCGTGAATATTAGCTGGCCTGATGACTGGGACTTACTTGGCATTTAGAGCAGCATTGGCTTCCTCGAGTGCTTCATCTCTCTCTGACTTGGCCGACCGACAGAGTCGTTCCGACGTTGCCAGATCTTCCATAGCTTGAGCTCTCTCCGCTTCCGCAGTACGTATCCTCTTTTCTATCTCTCGCATGGCAGAGAGAGCTTCATCTCGCAATTTGAGTGAAGCATCCAAATCGCGTTTCATCTCCAGGCCAACAGTTTGAAGACGTTTAAGCTGTTTGGCAGCTTCATCGCGTTGTCTTTCAGCTGCATCAGCCCTTTGATTGGCTTCTGTTAAATCGGATTCAAACTTCTTGCGTAAGAGGAGAGCGGTGACGCGTTGTTTCTTTTCGTCTTCAAGTTCCTCCTTGGTTTCACGCAACTGTTTCATCAGTTGACGGCGTTGCTCCTCAAAACCTTCACTGCGGTTGGCCAGCTCGCGTTCCAGTTGAGCCTTCAGAGCGTTGATTTGAAGCTATAAAAGAAAAAAGCACAATTATTGGCAATTAACAAACGGAAACCTAAAATTCATATACCTTAGATATCTCAATGGCAATTTTACAAATTTCTAATTTCAAACTAAAAGTTCAACATTCAGTGCTGGGAAATATAAACGATCAGAGCACTACCACACACATAAAAGCACTCACACCGTGTTAAGAGAAAGGGAATCTTACGTCAGCGCGCTGTTTCTCCATTGCAAGATGAGCCTGATCATCCTCCAACTCCTCAAACTGTTGTTTCAACTCCTTCAGTTGATTTTCTAACTGGAAGTTGGCCTGTTCCAGCTCAATCTTACTCTTTCCCGCATCATCCGTGTGAGAGACAAGTTCCTCCAATTCACGACTCAAGTTCGTCCTCTGGCGTTCTGACTCCTCTAGGCGTTCTTGAAGGTCCTCGAGTTCACGATCACGGTTGAGTAACTGAGTCTCGCGTTCACGCATATCTCTGTCCGTCTGGTCTTTCTCTTCTTGAAGGCGCTTGGCATTAGCCTGAGCATCGGCTAGTGCAGTTTCGAGTTTCTTCAGACGGCGCTCGCTGTTGACTTGGTCGGATCTCTGACCGGCGAGAGCGTGATTTGCGTCCTCCAACTAAAAAGAAAAAAAGAAATCAAACCAGCTGAGGAAGATTGATGCACGTCCTTTTACAAGGAAATAATTGACGACAGTACTCAAAAGAATATTAATCTTTTTTTCACCAAGTGGAGGTTCACAAAGAGCTCGCTTACAAAGCACTTAATTGGAATAATCTTGGAAAGACCATATCATTGGGCAGCTGTGAAACACTAAACCGAAATAATTAGTCATTAAGACGGAATGAGGACCCCAAACCGAATCTTATCTTTTAGTTGGATGCTAGATTTTGTAATCGAATGCGACACATGGCTACTATACACAACGTAATTACTAAAATATATACTTTCAAAAAAAACGCATTCTTGAGTAAACTAAAGTGGGATCCAATATTGTCAAACCACGTTTACAAAAAATGACTTAGTAATCGATGAATACTGAATTGTAATAAGTTCTTCGGAAAAAGACTCCTGGATTTCGATTCTTAGAGTTGGAATCTTTCAGTTTTGCACTTCATTAAACCCCCTCATAGGCCAAAATAGCACACAATTCGTTCCAAACAATCAAATTTCGATAATGGAAAAAAGGAGGCAAATTTTTGGCTACGAAGAGCTAAACGAGATAATTAGGTCGTCATAATATGAGGTCAATCCATTAACTCCCCGAAATCGACAATACCATTTCCACTTTCTCTCGAGCTGCGAATACTTATTCCAGTAAAATAGTAGAAGCACCTTGAATGTCATTGGAAGGACGTCTGATGAGGATACATTCCTTGTTTCTATTCTATTTGATCCCGATACATTAAGAGAACTCCTTATTTCCTAACAAGAGCTAAACAAACAACAAATTCTAGAGACTGGATCCCTTTTCATCAGGCTTAAGATGTTGAGATTATAGATCTCCATCTCCAACCAGTATAGTAAATCAAGAATCTAGAATCAACTAGAGTAATAACCATGGTAATTAGTAATTCCGACCTCAAGGTTTGCACACAGATTTCAATGGCGTCAGATCAATTATTTTGAACATACCTCTCCTTGCAATTTTCTTCGTGATTTCTCCAATTTTTCTACTTGCGCAGTTAGTTCCTCATTTCTGTTGGCTAACTCATCCTTTTCACGCTGAAGTTTCTTGCGAGTATCCTCTAAAGTTTCAAGCTGTTTAGCGTCTTCAACAACCTTAGATTTAACTTCATCCATCTAAAAGTTGTGAAAACAAATTCAGTAGAAGCACTTGCATATAATAATAGAAATAGGGCAGCAAGCATAAATATATCTACTTGTTGCTGGAGAAGGAAAACATGCTTCTCCAGAGCCTGCTTATTTTGTTCCTCTTCGTCTAGCGCGTCTTTTGCAACTTCTCTCTCCGACTCAGCTTGTCTAAGACGAGTCTGAAGTGCCAATTTCGCACGAGTCTCATCCTCCAAATTCTGCTTGAGTTCCGCGATAATTGTGGCACTATTAGCATCGGAACGGGCGAGTTTGGATAACTCTGCTTCAGAAGTCTCCAAAGCCTTGTTAGCACCTTCTAATTCAGCGGTCAATTTATGCAATCTTTCCTCAAGCTCTGCTCTAATGCGTTCTGATTCCTCCAATTTCATGAACTTGTCGTTTAATTTCTGTTCTGTAGCACGACGCTTTTTCTCCATTTCAGCCCTGAAAGACAAGAAGATAAAATCATAAACAGCAATTTCTTTAAATTTATTATCATAATTCAGTACTATGACATACTTGGCAACCAGAGCTGCATTGAGCTGGTTTGTGAGGTCAGAGTTACCAGCCTCAAGTTGAGCCTTCGAAGATTCCATAGCAACCTTCAAACGTTTTATCGCCTCTAACTGATCCGTTAACTGTTCCACATTGGCGCTGTGCTTCTTTCGAAGTTCAGCCATAGCCGCTTCATGTGCACTAAAAGGACAAGAAAACGACAAGATTAGGCGATTCAATATTAAAGAAATCGATGGCAAAGAAGTAGCCTTACGCAGCATCAGTTTCAAGCTGTTTGCGAGCATTTGACAACTCAGCTTCATGTTTGCGTAACGCTTCAGCCTGGGCCTCGGAATTCGTTCCAGAATCGATAAGCTCTAAGCGAAGTGCTTCGAGTTCTTCTTTGAGGTCGCGTTTAAGATTTTCAGCTCTGTCGCGTGCTGCTTTCTCTGCTTCAAGGTCGTCCCTCAATTCTTGAACACTTGACTCAGCCTCTCGGAGCTAAACATAAAAAAATCAATAGAAGATCAATTAGTGCAATGGTCTTCATGACAATATTCCATTACAGTTTCATAATAAATGGCTACTAAAGGCCTGACAAAGTCCATCAAAGATTGAGTAGTTGATTAGTCAAATTCTCATAGATTGAGAAACTCAAGTTTGGACTTTTACATCTTGTCTTAACATTACTAAGTCAATATAGGATAAGTAATCATCTGAACTAGATTTATTTCTACTAATAATAGAGAAAAAAGTATCTCACTGACAAAAAATTCAAGGTGAATAAATCAAACACGTTGTGATACATCTATGTGGTTAAAATCAGATTCTCACCTGTTTCATAGTGACAGTCTTTGCCATAACCTCCTCATCTAACTTTTGTTGAGTCTTGGAGAGTTCACCCTCAAGATTAGTGATCTGTTGCTTGAGTTCATCAATTAGGCGGTTGCTATCAGCTCCTTGTTCAGCTTTTTCAGATACCTCTGCTTCAAGACGTCTCTTCGCACGTTCCAAATCCTGCCTAGATGATTGTTCTTTCGACAACTTCTCTTCCAACTCTGTGATAGTACTCTCAAACTTGGATTTGAGCTTCAGGAGTTGCTTAGAGCGTTCCTCTTCATTCGTCAAGTGAGCTGAGACGTCAGCGAGGCGGGACTCAATGGACTTTTTCTCCTTCTCCAATTTACTGTACTTATCATCGAGTGCAGCATGTTCTTCCGTTAGAGACTTCATCGACTGTTCCAGAGAACCTTTCTCAAGTTGCAGCTTTTGTCTATGTTGCTCTTCAGCTTCTAACTGATCAGAAATGTCCCCAACTTGATCAGCAAGAGTCTTCTTCTGTGTTTCCAGTTCAGAGATCTGAGCCTTGAGTTCATTTTCACGACTTTCTAGTTCGGTAACCACTTCCAGTGCAGCCTGATAATCCGCTCGGAGCTTTCTCTCTCGCTAAAAGATACGACAATAATATTATTAAATCAATTAAAGAAAGCATCCTGCCTTGTTTCTTTTCACTCCTAGTGTAAAAAGTTCGTTTTAAAGTACAAGCGCGTAAAAAAAACTCACATCATCCAGAGCAGCGAAGGATTCATGCTCAATCTGCAATTCTGATTCAAGAGACACTAATTTACTCTGAGCCTCTTCGTAAGCTGTTTTACTCTCGGTGAGGGCTATTGTAGTCTTTGTCAGGGCATCTTGAACCTGCGAAAAGAAAATGGAATTCAATTCAAATAAACAAGGGGCCTCTTTAGCAAGTACACACATAGAGGAGGTAGGAATTCCAAGTACGAGCTAAATGCGTAATAGCACTCAGAGGGAATGCGTAAATCAGATAGAAAGATGATGATGATGATGAACTATCTGAAAAAAAATTAGCTTACTGTTCGTAATTCAGCCTCCTTTGCGGCGACAATTTCCTCCTGTCTGGTAACACTAAGCAAGGGTCGAACCTTGGTGAACAAACGCCACCATGACCAATTACGAAGTTTCAGGTAGGCAACACAGTTTCGTTGAATGATACGGATGGCTTGGATATCCTGAATTCGCTGCTGCACAGCTCTAAACCGCATAAACGAGGCAATAGAATCAACATTTTTGAAGTAAGAATCAAGTTTGCGGTGAAATCAACTAACTTTTTTGCGAGATAACATCTACAATGAGCCTGGAAATTTATCATTATAGCTGTCAATCGGAGATCTCTGTCTTCTTCAAGCTGAGCAAGAACACCAGCTTTGAAAAATATCTTGCTCTGTCCAATTCGGTACAGTTCTGGACTCAGCTCCAAACGCTGAACCATCAATTCAGCAGCTTTCCTTCCGTCCATATATCCCTATAGCCAAAAAATTACGAGGTTCTAATTGAGGTCTAAACCAAATGAAAGGAGGGAGGTGGCAAAAAATACCTTTGAGATAAGATCCGGAGTTAGGATTTCGTATCTTTGACGGAATTCCTGGAATGGTACACGAGATGGAAATCCCTGACGACAGATACGTATACCCTCAAGAACACCATTGCATTTGAGCTGATCGAGAACCAGAGGCACGTCGATTCTTCCGGCCTTCTTTTCGTGATTTGGAATGATACAACGGACAAAGTTGGGGTTAGTGTTCTGGAGAACGGACATGAGGCGAATGAGGGATTCCTTGTAGAGTTGGCTCACGGTTCGAAGCATGCCTTTGCGAACGGTGCGAGCTGGACCGAAGTTGGTTTCATTCCCAGCGGTGGCCGACATACTGACAATCTCTGCATCCTTCCAAATGGCCTGTCAAAGGAAGACAAGACTTGAGTATGCAAAAAAATAATGAAAAGACTTGACTTATAACTTTGTATTAACCGAGATAAACTACAGTAAAATTTACAAAATTTGGCCAAATTGGCAAAATTAAAAAAAACCAGTTCATGCAAAGATCAGCGGATCGTGAAATATATGAACACACACAGGAGTGCCAGTAGAATGTTCAATAAGAGCGGTGAAATAAAGTACCAATTGGGAAAAATCATTAGAACAAGAGACGAAATGAGTCCCTCGATTAGTGAGTAAGGCCTGGGAAAATTGACAACTCATAGTCGTTTAAAACAAGGTTTACACATCGCAATCTTTATTCAGTTGAAATCCTCAAAAAGCAATTTCTAAATGAAATATAAACAAGACTACAAAACACACTGGATGAATCTCTCAGCAAGCAAGTAATCTAATTAAACGAGGAACGCGCAAAACAACACGATCGGATTTGAGATCGTTTCTTTTTTCCAAATATGCTCTAAACACAAGCATCTCTAAAGGAGAATCTGAAAAATCCGTTGATTTGAATGAGACTCAGAATCCACCCGCCGACGAGGATTAACGATGGAGGTGAATAGGATGATAGAAAGAAAAGATGTTCCCTCATAAATGGGTACAATCTTCAAGAGATTCTTAGAATGATGTTAATCAGTGTTTATTTTGCGAATTTCTCACGAAAGAAGTCAACTTAATAAAACAGATTATCTCTCTACAATCCACCTTAAGCGATATTAGCTTTCCTTTGGTATGCATGAAATGGACCGCTGTGCGCTTTCCAATACGAACCGAAATAGGGAATTTCCAACAGATCATACTTGTTCAATGAGATAGATCCAAAACACCTTTCTGGGCTAGAGCACGCTTACACAAGCATGAAGACTGCTAATACAATGTAGTCAATTTCTATTCGAAGGCACATATGTGTTAGAACAGCAAAGTTGGTGTGAACGCTTTACAACAAATAACACGAGACAGAGAGAATGAAATCCATAGAGCCTCCCTTCTTCGCCTTCTCGTACACCGTGGGCCAACTTTTGGCACAGATCGTGCAATAAGGAGATGCTGCCTGATGACTAATGCATACATACAGCAGCGAATTAACCCAGTCGCATGCGTGTGAAGATGCAAGGCACAGGGTACGTACCTTCCCCTCCCCCCCACACAACTACAGTCTGATAGAAGTTTATGTCAACCCGGTTTTCTACTTGTCAACCCACTTTCACGCCCAGGATCTGCATAAATCAAGTATGATTCAGCTGTCAAAGGGATTATGACACCCATGATAAAGAGCTATGTCCGATCTTCCTAACCATTCGGTCTTATGGATATAACTTCAATCACAACGTAAACGAAGAAAATAGACCGCTAATAACTATTATCAAGGATTATGTTGCGTGTCATGGAGAAAGAATGTGCCAACTTGCATTCTTTTAAATTGTACATTTACTTGTGTCAGCCAGAGGAGAAATGCAAAATTGAACCTTACTGGGGATTAGTGCTCCCAGGATGCAATAACTCGCTCTTTTTCACGCCAATTTACAAAGTAAGAAAAAATTTAAATGTTTGCAACACTGAAGGAGTGCGGGTGACGATACAAGGATCTACACACACACACACGCACGCATACACACACACATACAAGCGCATAGTCACATGCAAATTTGCTGTTGAGTAAGAATGAGAAATACCCATTCACTAAAACGCAGTGCACAGCACAGCGCAAAATCAACCAGAAATGTCAATGGTGAAGGAGACTACATAGTGTGGTGTAAGCCTCTATTTGCATTCATGTATGCAAATGGTGCACTAGGAATGCGTAATCATGATCCAGGAGAGAAAAAAATAAAAAATAAGCTTTGAATTGATGAGCTGCTGCCTTTGAATGACTCAATGGGATAGAGGAGAGTAACGAGAGAAGGGATGTCATTGAGACCATTCACTCTGCATTTGAGAGAAGATAACTCACTCATTGAGTGAAAGTAAGGTCAGAGAGAGAGAGAGAGAGAAAGTGTACCCGCTTAAAAGCCTGAACGAACATGCCTAGTTGAAAGCCAAACACCACCAACATAACCGCAGTAAATAAAAAATCACTGAAGCAAAGTCACACACGAAGGCGTATAAACTGAATGATTGAAAAGCAACTCTCAACAAAGAACATCGGACCCTAAAAAGTCTTCAAAGACTAGGAGATAGTGAAAGATCAGATCGACACAAAGACCGACGAAAGATAATAAGCGAAATCCAAAACCACACGTTTTGTGTAAACTGAGGCCAATGCCAAACCATACCCCTCTATTTACCTTTTTATAAAAAATATTCCTACAAAAGTTTTTTTTAGTATTCCATCCATTTTCATATTTACTCCAATATGGAGGATCAGAGATGAAGTTGAGTGCACTTCAATAGCACGGCAATAGCGATATACCACCAGAATACTTTTTTCCCCAATTGGAAGGGGAGTCTTTAATTGTTACCAGTAAATAATAAACAACTTGAAGTCTCATTAATCCGAAAACGCTCTTGAATTCTAAGATCGGAGCACTTAAATAGTAAGAAGGAGATAGGGCCAAAGAATTAATCAGATTTGAGTAACGCTGTGCTCAAGCACGCGCGCGTTTACATGCATGGACGCCTTTGTACGGTGAAATGAGTGTGATTCCAATGCTCGCCAAAAAAGGCTAAAATGCATAAGCCTATTTCTACTGCAACCACCTTGACCAGACAACCCCCCCCCCTTTTTAACAATATTGTAACTAACTGGATGAAAGGATTTCAAGCAGCAGCAACAAAACCTGAGAGGATTCTGAGGAGAGAACATTCTTGAGTTAACAGGGAAAAATAGGCGTTCCATGTCACCCTGATATATGTTATCTAGCGCTAAGTAAAAGAAGTTTAACCAATTGTGATAAAAATTGTTTTCAAAATTTAGCATGAATAGCCATTTTAAGCCAAGTCTAAAAGGAGCGGATATTTAAATAGTTTTGAATTCGGAAGAAATTGGAGATAAAGACACCACCCACTACCACCGCTTACAGAAATCAAACGCAATAAGGAGAAATCAATACATATTTTTAATCTCCAAAACTGTTGATCTTAAACTCTTGTCCATATCATCATCCAGCGAATCTAAACCATGAAACAAACTTGAAATAAAGGGTTTGATCAAATTAATGTGTCAGTTATGAGAATACGTAGAAGAGGAATTTTCCCATTAAAAAGATAGCGGCATAATTTACTCCATCTACCCTACTTTAGAAATAACAAGTACCTGAACAAGGGGTTCATTCGATGTTTGCAGAAGGGAGACAACGTTGTCATTAAGAGGATCCATGTTCTTTGTAAGCCATTGGGCTGCCTGATAGTCAACACGGCCAGCATAGTGGCAAACTCCAAAGTCCGAGGTGGAACGAAATTCCGGTTTGAACAATTTCGGATTGCTCTCTTGCTGTTTGAACAATTTCTCCACAAATGACTTATCCGTGGCTTTGGGGAAGAAGCATTCCTCATCCAAGAGAGCTAAGATACCAACAGGCTAAAAAAATAAAGTCAGAATTAGTCAACTCAGATTCGAACTACTACCTAGAGAGAAGAGAAAGCCGTAATACCTTCTCAATCAAATCGATAGTAGGTTGAAGATCAAGACCGAAATCGATAAAGTCCCACGGAATGCCCTCACGACTGTACTCCTCCTGTTCCAACACAAACATGGTGTGATTGAAGAGTTGTTGTAGCTTCTCATTCGTGTAGTTGATACAGAGCTGTTCAAAGGAGTTGACCTAAAAGGAATAAGACAAGTCATTAACGACTTCATTGGAGAAACACTAAGCATAACAACACAAGAGCGGGCAAAATAAATACGCAGGATACACAAAATAAGTAGATTGCAAAACTAAGGAAGACGAGGATAAATAGATAGATGGAGAAAACAAACACACAAAATTGCGAAGTCTCATTTTCGTTTCTACAAGCAACTTACTCGGATAGCCGACTTATCAGTAGTCTACAAAGGGATAAGTAAGTGCGAAAGGGTTAAAAGCGGTTATGTTAGTAGCGAAACTCAATTAGCATTCGTTAGATAAGTTGGATGATGTGTGTAGAAAGGAGCTCGACAAAATTACCTGGAAAATTTCGAAGCCAGCAATATCCAGAATACCAACAAAGGAAACACCCTGACGCTTGGCCCGATCGAGAGACTTATTGATGCGGGCAACAAGCCATCGGAATAGTCGTTCGTAGATCGCCTTAGAGATGGCTTCAACGGCAAATTCGACTTGCTCTTTAGTCTGGGCCTTTGATACAGTCTCACGACCAATCTTGAGCTTGGGTTTAAGAAACGCCTTAGTCAGCTCTTGCAGTGGAACACCCAACAAATGTGCCACCTTCTCGGCATCTATATTGAAAAAAAATATATTGAGACACATTAGATCGAATGCAAAATATGCAATCCCTATCAAGTGAAAAGGGGAGAAGTCACGAGGTCGATATCTATTAATTTACATCCAACGATTGGAATGACGACTAACTCGTAGTTTGCCTTTCCTTCGTCAATTATGGATAGTGAAAGGAAGATAAGACAAGCAACAGTATGTACGTCAATCAAATCAGATGACATAGGAAAGATGATAAACGATGCATGTATAGTGAAGTGGATGGCTAATCCCACAGGTTAAACGTGGTCAACAAGAAGTGATATGATGTTACCTCACCAATAAACGTTCCCGAATGTCGTCTCCCTACTAGTCAAATGGCGTGATCGATTTCCACAGTGGGCTTGGAAAGTTTTGAGTTTCAAGAGGGTAAAGGAATTAACATCATGTTCTGCCAATGATTAGTCATTTCTCCCGTACAAATAAACCCAGGATATGCTTCGGTATGACAAGATAAACATATGCACAATCTTGGGATATATTGGCAAGGAGCACGTACCAGCTTGATTGGGTAGGGTTGCTTGGTCGGAATTGCGTTCTTGTTTAAATTCCAAATTGCCCAAGTGCAAAACGGCTGAAAGAATCTTGAAAATGGCTGAAAAAGAGAAGGTAAAAAAAGGGTTGTTAATAATTGAACTATGAATTTATAAATGACGAGTAGATACGTTTATATCCAAAGTTTTTAAGATCGATTATGCCCCCACATTCGTAACAATTGGATTCTTAATTGCATATTGAAATGATAAGTATTAAGGTAAAAATCAATATTCACAAAACGTATAGAAGGCAAGGGTGGTTAACGGCTAATTTAGATGAGACTAAGTCGCATAAATATAGACTCAGTGGTCAGGGAGGCCTTCAAACTAGTTTCACGGATCTAACAGGTAGACAAACAACGGAGAAATCCTCAACAGAATCACTATACCCAAGCTCTCTTTCTACTCCACGCTACGTCTTTGTGTGGATGTCAAACACTCTAATTTAGAGACTAATTCGATGCGATAGCATCCAAATGACTCCACAAGTACTGCATAATAAGACTGAAGTGAAAGGCTCCTTTAAGTGGCACAAAAGACCTTTCCCATAACAATTTGAAAATAAAAATGAACCTTGTTGCTCCTCCTCAGTAATTCCCATGATGGACATGGCTTCAGTGGTCTCCTGGAAGGCTTGTTTTTCATCCTGGCCCGGAACCTCAATCATTCCATGGGAGAGGTAATTGTGCTTTGCAGAGGCAGCATGATTCAGAAGGAGTTTTTCTTTCAACTCTGGTGAAGCAGAGGCAAGAAGTTGGTAGAATATGTGGAAACTGCGTTCCTCGGGTGCTTGTCGAATAACTCGAGCCTTTTCTAGAAGATCTAGGAAAAGGAAGTTTCGAGATGGAAATTAGGGGGATTCAAATTGATGATTACTAAACCTCAAAATATTAAAAGGAAAGCCAAAAATGTGATGACCCCAAAGAAATCAATTTAAAGGTTTAAATATAAACTCCATTAAAGAATTTTTAGAAAGACCGACTGGAAAAACAATTACACAAATGCCCCAAAATAACGTTCTGGAACAGACTTTAAAGCTATTATTAGAAGTCTGGAGTTCTATTTTAACAATGGGTATTGAAATATAGAACAAAACAATAGTAATATACGACTTAAAGGGTGGTTAGAAGATCCTGGGAAAAGGTAGACTTCAAGAAGAATGTCAATTCAAACGATAAGTATTATAGCAAAATACATTCATTTCAAAAGGATGACAAACGTATGAATCAATTCTATGCTCATTAGAGCTATGGAATATTTCGTATTTCCAAAATGTAGGATAGGTCCCTTACAAAAGGTCAACACAAATTAACTGTAATCTACCAAAATCCAAACCACATAATTCGCTGCCAAGACAAATGCCTACACAAAAAAACTAACTAAATAAGATGAAATGAATCTGCGCATGTTGACAGAAACAAAGTGACAACATAAAGCACTACTTTACCAGAAAAATGAATGCCTGATGCATCAGGCTCAAATACTCCATTAATTGCAAGAAAAAAATTAAACTCACAAGTTTCAATATTCGCACCAGCGATAAAACCGGAGGTGTCAAAGTTAATGCGGATGAATTTCCCCTGGAGAAGAAACATGAGGCCGTTAAAAAGAGCAACTTCAACAGGGGGCTAAAATAAAAGTATCACACTTACGAAACGTGATGAGTTGTCATTCTTGATGGTTTTAGCGTTACCAAAAGCTTCAAGAATAGGGTTTGCCTTGAGTAACTGAGCTTCAAGTTCACCCTAAAAGGATGAAAGGTAACATAATCAACACAGTCTATTAGCATTATCTCCTTATGATTTAAGCGAACAGTGAAGTAAAAACTAACGAGACTTACAACACCAGAAGATATAATATTAAAAAGTGCAAATTGGGAGGGGGGAATTAAAGGAAAAGCTAATGAGCCAAGACTAAAACCACATCAACAAAATAACCTTTCGGCGATTTTCACCATCATCATCAAACTGCAAATTAATATTAGCGATTGATGAAAAGTAAATCGATAATCAGAGAGACACTGCACTAAATAGGGTTTTAGAATAAAGGTATCGAGAGAAAAAAACGGAACAATGGCGGAAGAGCACAGAAGCGAGTGAATGCAAAAGCAGTAGAGGGAAAACTTACAATATTGACTTCATTTGACTAGTAAAAAGTCAATAGATTATTTAAATAAAATTTAGTCAGACTCCAAGCATAAGTCAATAGATAAAAAAAACACTTACATGTAATTTTGAAAGAGCATTGCCCGGAGTTGTCTTTTGATTTTTAGTTGAAGTAGCTACTGATGCTAAGTACTGAATAACTTTTTTCGTATTTTCGGTTTTCCCGGCGCCAGATTCACCGCTAAAATTGTCAAAAAAATAATTTATAACTCACGTGCAAAGGATAGATTGATCTTCACGGTCCTGCAACATATTTCGATAGGCGGTATCGGCGATAGCGAAAATATGTGGCGGTCTCTCATGACGCTTCTTGCCTTTATACCATTCAACAATTTCCTCGCGATAAATGGGGAGACGTTTATAGGGATTTATAACCACACAAAAAAGGCCAGAATATGTCTAATACAATAAAATTTAACAAGATAAGATTACATAAATTAATCCAGAGTAATATCTTGATTTCAGATTATAAAGGACGGATGCTTCGTTAAGATAAGTTAGGTTAGCCATATCTTCTACTTTCTCAAACTTAGGTGGATTCATTTTTTGAATAACATCTTTGGGAACAGTAAGCTTTTTTCCAGACTCTTGCAACTGAACAACGCAATCATCTTTATCTTCACTGATAATTGATGCCGCAGCAAATCCGACATTCTCTTGAGGAACCCAAACGAGCTTTTTTGAAGCCCAGTCAGATTGTGCAGCGGAATCATCCGTAGGTCCCTTAGCGACACGAAGATGCTCTAAACTTGCTGGATCAATAGTAGGATCTTTTGACGACATAGCGAAAGGTCAAAAACAACGATAGACCTCCTTTTTAACTTAAATCGTGCACGAAAACATTAAGTGGTTTAAACAATCACAAAGCAAATTAATGGCGAGTACAGAATCTAAATATACTGCATAAACCTATTAGTTAAAAATTCTAATAATATTAAAGTTAGCAAATAAATCATTTGTGCTGAGATATGGAGAAATTATTTTTCATTTTCTATTAGTAGTAGAGAATGAAATAATATTCTTTTATTTCATGCGCAAACCAGGTTGTTGTAGTATATTTATAAGTTTCAGAATTTTGATGGTATATTATATCATTCCCCAAATGTATACCAGTACTTCAAAGGTTTTCAAATTAATGCTAATACTTATAATAATTGTTCTCCAATCTTTAGAATCTGTTAATTCAGCAGAAAAATATTTTGTTATTTACGACTAATATTTTGTGTATGTTTGCGGTTGCTTAAAGAAGGCGTTTATGAAATATATGTAAAATGGCTTGGTGAAATTATTTCACACATTTGTATATTATCGTTTGGAAATACCTTAAAGTTAGGTAAAACTAAATGTCATTATGATTTTTAAAGCTTAATATATTACCTATCTATTAGAACTTATTTAAAACTGCGCGAATTTGACATTGACTCGTTTTTTTAGTCTTAATGAAAAAACTTTCAATTTTTCCTATTAAATATTTATTGCTACTAAATGCAAATATAACGAAATCTGTCTAGTCGGTTTAGTTTTATTAACTATTCCCTTAATACTGATCTTATCATCGTGTAGTAACAAATAATAGATATTAATCAAACATTTGTAATATTTATTTATTTATATCAAATGGCATGCGTTTTGATAGGTATAATTAGCCCTTAAGTTGACATCAGGCTTCATAGAGGGGAAGGAACATCAAAGTGAAAAAAAGTCGAGAAGGGGGTGGGAATAGAAGAGCGTTTCGAAGACGAAGGTTGAAAATTTAGAAAAAATGTGATGTAGTACTGTAGAAGTGGTCGAATATGCCATACAGTGTGGTCATGGTAGTTTGAAGTCAATTGCCGGTTTATTGACTTTTTTGCCGTATGAGTATACGTTGCCCAGGGTGCACCACATGGAGGTAAGTCTATCGCACATCCCATCATTTGTAATATAACTGTGTCAAAAAATGTGAAGTTCAGCTTTGGAAGCATTGAGAGTCAATAACAGATTTACGTTTTTTTCTAAATCAATAATATGAAACGGGTTCTTGTCTTTGAAAGAGGCGAGAGATTACCGAACTTGGCTAAAATAAGGAATTCCATTTTATTTTCCCCTTTTTGTCAGTATATTTTTTCCATAAATATTTAGCTATGCTCTTAAAAATTTGGTTTAATATGAGCACTTGCTGAATAAAATACCCCCATTAACTTAAGTGGACTAAATATGGCAAAATTTTAGTAAAATCAGATTTAACCTTAGAGAAAGATTGAAATTGATGCACTCCATGACTACATATTTGTGAAATCGCTTTCGTACTATGCTTATTGTTGATCATAACGCCAATGGCCTTTGACATTTAGAGCCTCAATATTAATCAAATTCTTTGGACTACAGTTTTCTCAAATACTAGCGATGACGAGTGTTAACAAAGGGACCATCTGAGGTTTTCACGACTGTTCTCAACCTCTCATCAAGTGTTAATAAATTCGAGAGGAAGCAGCATTGATTTAAAAACTGGAGAGGTCTTCACAGGCAATATAATAATGAAAATAAGCACCTCAGAACGAATTTCTGAAAAACTTGGAAGTAGAAGCAGGAAAGGGAATTGTGTTTTGTTTGAATAAATCATGATGCGTTAAGCTGTTTTTCTTTCTAAAGCTATAGTGCCCAAAGCACCTTTCTTACACAGAACATGGGAACGATCTCTATTAACGTATGTCTTTAGTTAGTAACATGTTATGCTGAGCATGGGGGGGGGGGCGTGCGATAGACTTACCTCCACGTGGTGCACCCTGGGCAACGTATACTCATACGGCAAAAAAGTCAATTATCCGGCAGTTGACTTCAGATTCCAAACTACCGTCATCCCGCTGTATGTCATATTCGACTACTTTTACAGTACTCACCTCACCTTTTTCCTACCTTTGTGCCTGTCTCTTTTGCATCTTTGAAACACTCTTCTGTCCCCCCCCCCCATCTCGACCTTTTTCACTTTGGTGTTCCTTCCCATCTGTGAAGACTGAAGTCAACTAAAGGGCTAATGATACCTATCGAAATGCCTGCCATTTGATATAAATAAATAAATGTTGATCATTTTCTTTTTAAGGTATTAATCAATATGAAAACATACAAAACTTTCGTAATTCAAAAACAGCCCGATAATCATACAATAAAATTTAACTTTACCTATTTCTGACCACAGCATATATAGAAATCCTTGGCACGCTTCGATCATTGCATAACTGTACTTGATATCTTTAAGAAGAAAGTAGAACCAACAATAATAGAATGAATCACAATACCTCATTTAAGTAAATCAATTCTAGTATCTATCTAATGCGCAGAAGACAATAATTAACGGAAATCGAACATAATTGTAGGTATGAAGGTTAATTTGGGTTCCACTCAGAAAAATTAATTAAATTAAAAGCCATCATTAATAATAATTAAATCCACATCTAGAAATTGATTTCAGATATCCTAAAGACATCCTGGAGGATATGAGCTTCACACAAGCCATTGTCGAATACTACGCTCTCTTAAAATCCTTCCTTTCTGCAGGCAAATACGTCGAGTCTCTAGTGTGACCTAAAACATGAATTATGTTCGCTGTCAAAATTAGAGACTGGAGATTTACTGTGAAGGACGTTTTTTCCGTAACAAAACGAAAAAAACTTTATCAGTAAAATATTTAAAATATATCTGCATAAAATAATCAAATTAATTATATTAAAAATTTTTAAACGGCTGATATTACTTTGGGGTGTAACCTTGAGATTGAGGACATCCCGGACTAGAATAGTTTCTCAGGCACGGAAACTTGGGAATGGGGGCTGGTATTTCCCAATTTCCACCGATAGACGAATCATCATTGGTCACTACTGGACTTATAACTTCATGTTCACTATACTCAGTACATTCTTCCATCTCCAAGCTCGTGTCTTTCAAGGAAACATCGATTATACAGTATAAGAAGGATTTAAATTCCAAATTACCTGATAAATTGACTTCAAGTGCTACATTTAAGGCATTTATTGGTATGGAATTTGCTCAGAATAAGCTTATTGAAAACTCACTCCGGGGTTTGTTAACTGTCTTATATTAAAATGCCCATTTAGTGAAACACCTGAGTCACCCCTCCATAATTCGTGTTGTCTCTGCTGCTATATCGCCAAAAATCTCTTCTTTTTTTCTTGTATCAGAACCCACTTTACCTTTCCAGAACGTGTTCTCAGTCCTTACAGAGGACGAATTTCTTGTGGGCATATATTCAATTCTACAAGCAATTGACTTCCTTCATAATAAAGTAATTAGTTTAATATTTTTGATCACCCTTTAAGGCTCATATTTCGCATAATAATATTGATATTACTAGTCTCTTTGTTGATTCAAAAAAGAAATGGAAACTTGGTCTTTTCGAATTATCGTGCGCATTTAGTGAACTTTCGCAACATCGTCTAGAAGTACTCGAGCATCTTAAAAACAAAGAAGAGGATCAAAACGTAATATATATTTTCCTTATTTTAAATTCAACCTTCATAGTCTGTTGAATTCATTGCGTCTGCGTGTCACGGATATGACATTTATTGTTTCAGTCGAATGGTCACACAATTACTCTCCGTATTTGGTAGCTGTTTTCAAATTGAATATATATGTGTATATTCTTTACCATCTAGCTCTGGAAATAGATAGCTTAAAGACGGTTCTCGAAAGATCTGGCATGCACGCATCTCCCAAACAACGACCTTCCGCTGCCCAGTTGTTAAAACATTCCGTCTTCACGACTCCCTTCTCCCATTTAGTATCATTTCTATCTGAGTATATGCTCAAGTCTGACGCGGAGAAAATCAAATTTTTTCAGTAAGAGTTTGACTTACCGCATTGATTTGACCATTCAGAGAGTTTCCAAAGGTGGCTAGTGATATTTCTGAAGAAGTTCTCTGCTCCTCCATCGTTCCTCTAATACTAGTACCCTCGATATTTACGGACTTCCCGGCCAAGTCCGTAGTCCGTCATCTCCTCACACCACATAAAGGTGAGTAATACCAATTAGTCATATACGCTTTTCTTTATCACTGCTCATATTAGAAGTTAAAAAAGGATTTATCTTTCAAAAAACCGATGGATAGAATTGGTCAAATTAATTTTTGTCGTCTTGATCAGAGGTGGCGAGAAATTTCTATCACACGTTTGATTTCGCTGGAGATGAATGACTTCTGACACTGCTATTTAGTGAGGAAAGGGGTCACAGAGTCTCAGTTGTATCTTATACAAGTTTCAACTACTCAGATTCAAGAAGTGGGGGGGGGGGGAGAAGACTTGTAGTTCGAACATCGGCTCAGTAAATTTAACAAGATAACGTTACTTTTACCGCTTCGAATATGTAATAATTGGTTGGCTGGCTGATTGGCCAATAATTGCCTTGATGGTTTCTCTTCAAGGGGTACTGCATATCAAGATGAGAGAGTGGGTGACCAGTCGAATCGGTAATCCAGTGCATGAGAGACGGAATTGTTGCTTTCACTCAAATTTAATGAAACTATTCTATTAGACTTCCCAATCGGAATAATTTATATTTCCATATTTGGACATGGAAATTTTTCCTATCACTGAGTTTGTTTGTTAGGTACAACGCATTGAAGAGCATTCTCTTTCTATATCTTTCATTGATTTCGCTAATTTTTCACTCGTACTTCTCACTGATTAGTTCTAATTCATTTTTTTTAAATGGGAAGGATCTAATAATTGAGTGACTGCTATTTCTCATTTTTATTTGGACATTTAGTGCCATTTTAGTTAATCGCAAATTTTAGGTTACCATATTTCGTTTTTTGAAGGAAATAGACTTTTATTTGGCAGCTACAAAGTAGTTCGTTTCCCTTCACTTTTCCCGACTTTATATCTAGTCCAAATCGTCATTTGTTGACCTTAGCGATTGAAAATGCTCAAACGCGTTAGAGTCATGTCAATTTTTTTCAGCACTCATCTAAGATAAACACATTTTTCGGGCTTATTCCAGGATAAGAACGTCAATACCTGCCACTTTTAATGCTGTTGTTGGCCATGTCAATGAAGATATGAGGGTCAAATCGCTCCCCCCCCCTCCCCTCCCCTCCCCTAATTTGGAATTTACACTCTTCCCTTTGGAGTTACCTCAAATCATGATTGGAAAAGAATTTTGTTTGGTGTGCTTTTGCTCATTTGTTTATTGTTAAATTTCATTCAACTGTCCTCGTTGAACTGAACATGGCAGCATTATTTTCTCCAACTTAAATTGTATTCTTTTTTTGAATATATCTGGTGGTAAATTTTTTGTTGGGATCTCACGTAATCTAATTGTAAATTTATGGTTTCATGTGCTTTAGTTATTGTGCTTTTTTTTAAGATGGAAGTATTTTATTCTTAACGCGTAATCTCTTTTCACCATATTTCAGAGAACTCATCACTTGGCTTGGTCTCAGAGGCTACCTTCACCCGTTTAGTAGTTCCACAAATCTCCCGCCTCTTCCGATGCCATGAACTCACAACTCGAATGTTGCTGTTGCAACACTTCCAAGCCTACGCGCGCTTCATGGGACGAGAAACTCTCAAGACTATTGTTCTTCCTGAGGTATGCCTAGCCAATGTTACCATCTTAGTCATAAGATGCAAAACTCGTCTCTACTCCCATTAAACATAAAAACCGAAGATCTCATGTTGTACTGGGCTTTATCGCAATATTAGTTTCGGAGGTCATTAAAATTAAGGAGAAGCTTACTCAAGTCTACATTGATTTATTGGTTTAAAATTAATAGGAAATCCCCCCCCCCCGTGTATACAATCATGCTTTTGTGATGATTGCAGTTAATCGGATTCGCATTTAGCTCGGTTAAGGCGAGCTATTTCAACGTGGGGGGGGGGGGGCTCGCGGTTTTATCAATAACAATATTTCTTTATTTGACTTTTGAAGTAAATTTGATGCAAAAAAATTGAGACGCCGTATGAACATTTAATGAGATGCTGATGTGTTAGCTTCATCAAAATGAGCGCATCTCTATTCGTAGCTCTTTGGCAGGCTCTTCTAGGCACTTGGGGGCCTTTTCACCCGTTCACTAAACATCGAAGAAGCTTTTGAAATGCTGATAGGTTGTTAGTCCGTGGTCCCATGTTGTTCACGTACTACTACTTATCAGGTTGCGTAGGTTGCAAATAAATCACCCTTTGTCTGTCCAACTTGTTCATCGGGGACAACGGTATGTGCTCTACAGACAAGGAGCGTGGTCTTTATATTAGTATTGGGGGGTGTGCGATAGAATTACCTCCACGTGGTGCACCCTGGGCAACATATACTCATACACCTCCACGTGGTGCACCCTGGGCAACGTATACTCACGATAGACTTACCTCCAGGTGGTGCACCCTGGACAACGTATACTCAAACGGCACGTGGTGCACCCTGGGCAACGTATACTCATACGGCTCCACGTGGTGCACCCTGGGCAACGTTTACTCATACGGCTCCACGTGGTGCACCCTGGGCAACGTATACTCATAAGGCATAAATCTATTAACCGGCAGTTGACTTCAAACTACCATCACCCCACTGTATGTCATATTCGTCTACTTCTCACTTCAAACTACCATGACCCCACTGTATGTCATATTCGATCCGTTCACAGTACTCTTCTTACCTTTTTTACCTTTGTGTCTGTTTGTCTCTTTTACATCTTTAAAACGCTCTTCTTTCCCCCTTCCTCTCTCGACTTTTTTCCACTTTGATGTTCCTTCCCCTCTCTGAATCCTGAAGTCAGCTAAAGGGTTAATGATGACTATAAAAATGCCTGCCATTTGATGTAATAATAATATTAGTATGTTGGGTTTGATACACTAAAGCGGGGGACTATTGATTGGCGGTTGGCTAGGTGCACTCCGGGCTCACGCCGCACTTACTCCCTACGCGAAGTTCCACGACCTCACCTTCAAACCTGTCTGAGTACGCACGAGATTACTTGTTCAGCGGTGACAATCTTGTGTGTTCCATAGTAGCAATCCCAATATTCATTTAGCCCATTGAAGGAAAATTAGCTGAATCAATTGATTGGGATTTTGCTGTTAAAATTGGTTTTATATCCGTTAGAAATTTGTGGAAAGAGCTAGATCATACCCCTTCACGATTTTTTCTTGAGGTGTATCGATGACAGTTTTGGGTAATAACTTCAAGGTTGTCTAACGATTCATATAATGCTCCCTGAAGTTCAAACGGATTTCTGATATGTGGGCAAACCGATATTCAAGAGTTCTACTTGCATGGTCCTTGTATACAATTTATGGGAACATTCCTATCTAAAATGCGCAGTTACTATTCCGTCCTAACTTTTTTGTTTCTCCATTCCCAGATATGTATGAGTGTCTATGACGCTAATGAGGACTTAGCAGCAGCCAGCCTCTCTGGTGTAGCCCACTTGGCGCATCTCCTAGGTACTGGTCTTGTCATGTCCCACTTCCAGAGTCTCGGCGCTCAAATGGAGAGTCTCTCCTTCCTCACGCCAACTCCCCTTTCAGATGTGGATAAAGCTAGTCTCCGACTAAACACCACTCTTACCACCGCACCCACCAAGAAACCTCTGGTCTACACCGCTTCCAAGAAACCCTGGCGACGGACTCGAACCAGTTTCTTCCCTGACTCGGCTCCCAAATCGAATAGGCAAGTGCGTGAGCCGCCTGCCGAAACACCGATTAGGAATGGAAGTGCTAACAAAACGAGCAAATTGGCAGATTTGGCTGTGTTGTCTCCAAATTATGTTCCCCTAGCAGCACCGGTTAAAAGAGTACCCAGTGTTGGTCCGCCAGTAGTTCAGAAGTGAGCTCCCTCATCTTTTGGATATTTCGTTGAAGGTTTTTTTTCATCTCTTGCTATTATCTGCCATTGCAACGCTGAAAACATATTTGTAAAGAAGCATCAGGTTCAGGTTAAACAGGAGGAATAAGAGCAATTGAGGGCAGAATTATGCTTCCTCTGGGAACCAGAGTCATCAGGTTGCCTGATTCCTCAAGTTTAATTTTAATCACGTCTACTTCATCCTATCATCATAATCATCGTCACCTTTGTAATGGAGCGTTCGGTCAGTTATGATTTAATTTGATTTTACTAACAACCCTTCCTGGGGGGCATTGGTGTTTGTGGATTAGTTTTATTTTTGTTAGGATTGTACTACCAGTGCCACCGTCTTATCGATTTTTCATTTTACTGAGAGTCAATTGCACTTGGCATATTCTCTCAGAATACTTCTGCTTACTTTCTTTCACTTGCGGCTGGTGTTCATTACTTGAAGGCTTCAACCTCTAACCCTTTTGACCTCTTTTTGCGTCTACCTAGACTTGCCTTAGCCAACTCTTTGTTTAAGTTTCCATGACCTTCTAGATAGTACGTCATTATCACTAGGGCGACTTTTCGATTGATTTTTCTACGAGAAGAAGTCTCTTAAACTGGCAATGAGGGAAAGGTTGGCCACAACGCTGACATCTCTTATGGAGTAAATCTCTCAGAAATCGAAAAAAATTATCGTAAAAGGGCAACATCGCAGGAGAAACTCAAAACTAAACGCCCTCATGGCTAGCTTTACTCTCCTCCCATTGACTTGGCACTTTCATTGGAGGGATTAGTGGAATTGGCTCTTATCGTTATCCCTACTTCCAAAAAATTGCCGGCTCTCTTACCAAAACAATAGCTTAATTATAGTTAATTTAAGGGCAATCAGCGCTGATATTCATTTATTAGCGTGGCTGTCAAAGAATAATCCCAAAATGGAACTTGAATTTGATGAATGCCGAAATTGAAACGCCTTTGGGGAGGTACATTTACGTCTTATTCATTAATCTATTCATTGATAAAATGTTTACCTCCACATGGTGCTTCCTGGGCAACGTATACTCATACGGCAAAAAGGTCTATAAACCGGCAGTTGACTACCGACTTCAAACTCTCATGACCCGCCTGTATGTCAT